AGTGTTCCCCAGCAGGCTTTGTTCCTAAGTCAGGACTAGACCCATCTAAGTCTTGAAAACTTTCCCATGTGCTACTGAAGGTAAACAGTGGAGGTCCAAACAATGCTATTTGAGAGCATGCCTGGTGTGTCCAGCGCTGATGATGAGAAAAGGGTCTGATATCTACTGTTTCCCAGGGCCTGCCAGTTCTGACTGTGGCCTGGATGCTGGGTGTGTTCCATTCTTCCTATCTGGTTTGATAGGGACGGTATTACTTCGATCATCTATATCAAAAGCTATATTGTCTGCATGCAGAGACAACAAAATTATGGTTTTTAATTTTGTATCCACATATATCAGGATTGATTGTTCAAGGTTTTATATCCAAAGGTTCCAATGCTAATGGAAATAGCAAGCAGGGACAAGGGGTATCCCTCCTTAATGTATCTACATATAGTTATGAAATGATCATAACTTGAGTGCAAGATGGTTGAGTGTTTAATGCTCTGTGAGAATTATCACCTAGTTCAAATTTTGGCAAGATAGTCAATAAACGGGGTCATGATACAGAGTCAAAGGCCCTATATGCATCTAAGGATAATAATGCCAGTAGAATTGTTAGTTTTCCTGCAGGGTTTTAAGACATTATGCACAAATTTAATAGAGACTGTGATCTGACAACCAGGAATAAATCCAGATTGATCCTTACGAGTAAGATGAGTAATTACGTTATTTAGGATGTAGGCCAATAAAGAGGTAACATTTTTAAAATCTTGATTCAGTACTGCTATAAAGCAATCAGGCCTTGAATGAGTTAGATCCTTTTTTGGTTTAAAGAAAACAGATACTGTATGTCTCCATGAATTGGAAATAGGTTGTCCTTCTAACAGAGGTGAACTAAATTTAGCCTAGTTGTTTGGCAAAGCTCTTTTAACATTTTGCCAGAAACTCATCAGGACCTAATTGCTTTGTTGTACTTAAGATTCTTTAAAATCTCTGTGACTCCTTCTAGGGATATTTTTTTCATTTAATTTTTTTTAACATCAGCAAATGTGGGTATCTGAATAGAAGCTAAATACTGTTCCACACTCTTTAAATTTACATTAATATTTGTAATCAATTCAATATAAAATTTTACATAAGTACACTGGTACCTCGGGTCACGAATGCTTCTGTTCATGACCAATTCGGGTCACAAACAGCACCGTTCGCAAAATTTTGCCTCCGTTCGCGAACGCCGGATCAGGTGACAAACAGGATCCGTGACCATTTTCCCTTCCGTGACATGTGGTCACGGCTTCCTGTAGGGAGGGGGACTCTCCCTCCAAGCAATAACTGCCTCCCCACCTGCCTTCCTGTCCTCTGCACCAGAAGTCGCATCGAGCAAGGTTAGCGTTCTCTCTCTTCGTACTGTACTTTGTGTCATATTTTTGCAGTTTAAAAAAAACAACATATGGTTCAGAACGGATTAACTGTAATTACGTTGAACCTTATGGGGAAATTTGATTCGGGACACAACCAAAAATCGGGTCGCGACCAAATTCAGAGGGGTCAGAACGGATTAACTGTATTTACATTGAACCTTATGGGAAAATTTGATTTGGGTCACGACCAATTTGGGTCGCGACCAGAGTCGCGGAACTGAGGTACCACTGTATCATTAATTTCCTTACTTCCTGTAGCCAAAGATCCATTCAGTAATTTTCCATCTATTATTTTATTCCTATCCATTTGATATTTAAGGGAAGCTAGGAATTCTGAATTTCTGTTGCCTGACTCATAGTATTTTGTTGAAATAGAGAAACGTTTTGGCTATATGCTGGGCTTCAGAGAGAAAGGACCATTTTCCAGTATTTCATTTCCAAATCAGCACTATCTGCTAAAAGGCTTGATTCAGAACAGATCTTTATTATACCAGGATGTTTGTGAAATACTAATCTATATACTACTAAAATTCTCATGTCTGTAACCTTCAACTGGGTGAAATGGTGCATCATAGGTCGATGGGTAAGCCCTCTTCCTCCCTCGAGGGAGGGGGCCCTTTGAGACATGCCAAAATGAGGAGCAGAGGTACAGTTTTCCTTGCAGTCCATGGCTCCCTTTGTTCCACCTCCCCCCAGCAAAGTGGCAGGCAGTTCCATAGGTCAGCTGAGGAGGAGGAGGAGGCGGCTTCACTGGGGCTCTCCTGAGGGTCATGAGGGGAGGGCAAATGGCCCAAGCCTATATTATAAGTGAGAAGGAAGGAAGGAAGGAAGGAAGGAAGGAAGG